CCAGCTTTTTTTCTTTTTGCTTATGTGGTGCTGAGGAATCGAACCCAGGGCCTCATGCATGCAAGGCAAGTGCTCTACCACTGAGCCACCTTCCCAGCCTCATCTATTTAGTTGTTTTGCATGTGGGGATTCAAAAATATCAAAAAGTTGGTGAGTGCTGGTGGCTTACGCCTGTAATCCTAGCTACTCAGGAGGCTGAGATCTGAGGATCACAGTTCAAAGCCAGCCCGGGTAGGAAAGGCTAGGATTACAGGCGTGAGCCACCACTGCCTGGCTGAAATTTTTTTAAATTTTTTTTTTTTGGGTCCAGTCATGGGGCCTGAACTCTGGGCCTGGGTGCTGTCCCTCAGCTCTTCAGCTCACGGCTAGCGTTCTACCACTTGAGCCACAGCACCACTTCCAGCAGAAAAAGCTTTTTTCTTTTTTCTTATGTGGTGCTGAGGAATCGAACCCAGGGCCTCAAGCATGCAAGGCAAGCATTCTACCACTGAGCCACCTTCCCAGTCCCTCTCCCTCTCCCTGTCCCTGTCCCTCTCCCTCTCCTCCCTCCCCTTCCCCTCTCTCTCTCCTTCCTTCCTTCCTTCTTTCTCTTTCTTCCTCCTCCTCCTCTTCCTCCTCTTCCTCTCTCCTTCTCCCTCCTCCTCATTATAGTGCTTGAACTCAGGGCCTAGGCACTGTCCCTAAGTTCTTTTGCTCAAGGCTAGTGCTCTACAACTTTGAGCCACAGCTCCATTTCCAGATTTGTGTTTTTGTTTTTGTCAGTCATGAGGCTTGAACTGTGGGCTTGGGCTCTGTCCCTGGGCTCTTCAGCTCAAGGCAGGTGCTCTACCACTTGAGCCGCATCGACACTTCCAGTTTTCTGAGTGGTTTATTGGAGATAAGAGTCTCACGGACTTTTCCTGCCTGGGCTGGCTTTAAACTGTGATGCTCAGATCTCAGCCTCCTGAGTAGCTAGGATTACAGGCATGAGCCATCGGCACCCAATATTCTACTTCCAGTTTTTGGGTGGTTAATTGGAGCTAAGAGTCTCATGGGGATTTTTCTGCCTGGTCTGGCTTCGAACCTCGATCCTGAGTAGCTAGGATTACAGGTGTGAGCCAACAGTGCCCAACTTAATCCTGCCAATCTCAACCTTCCCTGAAGTACTGGATGACAGGCATATGCTACTGCACCTAACTATGGATTAGGAATACGTTTTGTGAACTTTTCTGCTTGTGGCTGGCATCAAAGTAGAATCCATTCTTAGCTTCCTAAGAGGCTAGGATTTCAAGTGTGAACCACCAGCACCTTGTAACACATCTAACATCTTACATAGCATGGCCACTAGCTGTTCTTTAACTTTTTCTTTTCTCCAATTTTTTTCTTTTTCTCCAATTATAGTATGTTCTTAGCAAATTCCTATGAAAATAATAGCTTTGCATCATCATTCATTTCAGGTTCACTAAGAATCTTTCCCCGGACAAAATCAACTTGAGCACTCTGAAAGGGGAGGGTCAACTGACCAATTTGGAGCTGGATGAAGAAGTTCTACAGAATGTGCTGGAACTGCCTACATGGTTAGCCATCACTAGGGTCTACTGCAACAGGGCTTCTATCCGGGTGAGAATAGGGATCAGAGTGATGCTGTTGTCTTCGGCCGGCAGGCCTACCTTCTTGGGGCAGTTCCCACAGCCCTGAGCCTTTGCTTTCCTCTTTCAGATTCAGTGGACAAAGTTGAAGACGCACCCCATTTGCTTGGTAATGGCCTTTATTGTTAGCAAGTAATCAAATGGGGATAACTAGGGTGTGTTTTTAAAAGTAAGGAGAGGAGGTGGGGAGGAGTCATGACAAGTTGACCTTTTTGGGAGTGATAGGTGCTTCTTTAGGCTCAGAGAGCTATACTGACACAGTAACTGTTGTCTGGTCTTACTCCAGAACTTCTCTCTATAATAGAAATTAGCACTGAGAAGTCTGAGTTTTTGCTGTTAAGACTCTTAGATTTAATTGTTTTCCCTTGGACTTCTGACATGTAAAGTCAGAAGTTCAGTTCGTGGTGACTGTTGGGTAATAGTCAGCATGTGTGGGTTTTGTATGCTCAGCTCTGCGTGGCTTTCATTCCAGTGTCTGGATAAGGTAGAGGTGGAGATGAAGACGTGCGAGGAGCCTCGACCCCCCAATGGACAGTCACCCATTGCTCTTGCTTCAGGACAGAGGTCAGTTGCTGAAGATCGTATTTTTAGTTAAAAATAAGAATTTTATTTTTATTACCACTTTTGGAAGTGGTGCTGTGGCTCAAGCGGTAGAGCACTCGCCTTGAGCTGAAGAGCACAGGGACAGCACCCAAGCCCAGAGTTCAAGCCCCATGACTGACCAAAAAAAAAAAAAAAGCAACAAAAGGAGACATAAAGAAAAATAAGCACTCATAGTTCTCATGTTCAATATCTTAGTCCAGTGTCTTCTAGTGTAAATTTTGTATAAGGTCTCATATGACTGATCATTGGTCTACCTCATTTGTTGTAGTGAGTATGGCTTTGCTGAGAAAGTGGTGGAGGGGATGTTCATCATCGTTAATTCCATCACCATCAAGATTCACTCCAAGGCCTTCCATGCTTCTTTTGAACTGTGGCAGCTCCAAGGCTATAGTGTCAACCCCAGCTGGCAGCAGAGTGACCTTCGTCTGACACGCATCACTGATCCCCGCCGAGGAGAGGTAAGGGCTTTAGTGTTTGGAGGGAGAGAATCAAGTTGGAGAATTAAAAAAAAAAATAGTCTACATTAGTTATACAGAAGAGGGGTTATTGTTAAATATTCATGTGTGTCTTTATAATATATATATTCTAATAGTCTTGCCCAAAGTAGCAGAAATTCTTTTTTTTTTGTTGTTGTTGGTCATGGGGCTTGAATTCTGGGCCTGGGCGCTATCCCTCAGCTCTTCAGCTCAAGGCTAGCACCCTACCACTTGAGCCACAGCGCCACTTCCAGCTTTTTTCTGCTTATGTGGTGCTGAGAAATTGAACCCAGGGCCTTATGCATGCGAGGCAAGCACTCTACCACTGAGCCAACTTCCCAGCCTCAGAAATTCTTAAAAAGATGTTCTTTCTGTAAGAAAATGAAAAAGGCAGAAAGGTGAATGCATCAGTCCAACAAGTTTTTTTTGTTTTGGCTGGTCATGGGGCCTGAACTCTGGGCCTGGGCACTGTCCCTCACCTCTTCAGCTCAAGGCTAGTGCTCTACCACTTGAGCCACAGCGCCACTTCTGGCTTTTTCTGCTTATGTGGTGCTAAGGAATCGAACCCAGGGCCTCATGCATACAAGGCAAATGCTCTACCACTGAGCCACCTTCCCAGCCCTAGTCCAACAGTTTTATTCAGGAAGGGCAACCCAGTCTTCTTCAGCCTTGAAGAGGAAATGGCACATATCCCTTACAACTCGGGTCCCTTTAAATATTAGGCAGAAAAAGTGAAATCACGTGGGGTAGATGGGAGCAGGGTGAGATGGAGGCAGGTGGGAGAACAATCTTTTCTTGAGTAGAGGGTTTCAAGGTTTCAAACATATATGTGTTTGCCAGGAGGGTCAGGGCAGACATGGCCTTGGTCTTAGGCTCTTTTCCAAGACCTCCTGGTGTGTTTGTTCAGGGGGAAGGGGAGTGGAGGTGATTTAACAGGGTTGGAAACAAGGACAGTTCTAAGATGGCTCTCAGTAGGGGGGTGGAGAGGGAAGGTGAGTATTTTTAGTTTAAGTTATTTTTCATCGATTCTTTTAACCACATCCTTTCCTTGAATACAGGTCTCTGACCTGTTTTTTTTTTTTTGGGGGGGGTCTCATAGTGGGGCCTGAACTTTGGGCCTGGGCGCTGTCCCTCAGCTTTTCAGCTCAAGGCTAGCACTCTACCACTTGAGCCACAGCACCACTTCCGGCTTTTTTTCTTTTTGCTTATGTGGTGCTAGGGAATCGAACCCAGGGCCTCATGCATGCAAAGCAAGCACTCTACCACTGAGCCACCTTCCCAGCCCCTGACCTACTATTTTATGTTGTTAGGATCCCAACTTAGGAAGATGGAAGTCTCTGACTTCCTGGACTTCCTGCCTCATGGTTAATGTTATTCTCTGTATGCAGATATTTAGCTGGGAGCCAGTGGCTCAAGCCTGTAATCCTAGCTACTCAGGAGGCTGAGATCTGAGTTTTTTGGTTTGAAGCCAGCCTGGGCAGAAAAGTCCTTGTGAGACTCTTTAACCACTCAAAAACTGGAAGTGGAGCTGTGGCTCAAGTGGTAGAGCGCTAGCCTTGATCACAAAGAGGCTCAGGGACAGCGCCCAGGCTCTGAGTTCAAGCCTCACAACCAACAACAAAAAAGAAATTTTACTTTTTCTTCCAGGTTTTAACATTTAAGGAAATAACTTGGCAAACACTTCGAATTGAAGCAGATGCTACAGATAATGGTGATCAGGACCCAGTCACCACCCCACTGAGGCTTATTACCAACCAAGGCAGGATCCAGATAGCTCTCAAGAGAAGAGTGAGTTTGTTCCCTGTCCTCATGAAAGCCTCTCATTTCTTTTCCTAGACAGCCTGGGTGGTACTATCCTCTCATTGTAGAATTAGTGGCACTTGGAAAGACAGCAGTAACAGGAGGAGCTGCGGGTCAGTGTTGCACAGTGCTTTAGTGAGAGGGCATTTCCAACGCCTGATTTTAAAATTTTACAATTTTTACCCACATTTAGGCACATTGACATAGGGCACCTGGCAGTTGACTATTGCTGCTTTTTGTTAGTCAAGCAAACCTGAGTTCTTGTTTTTGTGGGTTTGCCAGTCCTGGGGCTTGAACTCAGGGCCCACGTGCTATCCTTGAGCTTTTGTGCTCAAGACTAGCACTCTACCACTTGAGCCGCAGCTTTATTTTGGGCATTTTGGTGGTTAAATGGAGATAAGAGCCTTACAGACTTTCCTGCTCAGGCTGGTTTTGAACACAGTCTTTAGATGTCAGCCTCCTGAGTAGCTAGGATTATAGGCATGATCCACTTGCACCTGCCTAAACTTGTATATTCTATAGTGCTTGCTACTCCTAAACTGGACATCAGTCACTGTGGGATTGGAACGATACAAGCTGCTAAACCCCATGTTCTCTGTTCCTTCTCCCCACCCCAGACCAAAGATTGCAATGTGATAGCCTCCAAGCTGATGTTTCTGCTGGATGACCTGCTCTGGGTACTGACTGACTCACAGCTCAAGGCTATGATGAAGTATGCTGAGTCGCTGAGTGAAGCCATGGAGAAGGCAGCCCAGCAAAGAAAGAGTTTGGCCCCTGAACCTGTCCAGGTTACACACAAAGTGGACACCCTTGTGGGGGTGGGGAGGTAGTGGACCAGACTTTATTTGTACCAACATAGGTGGGACTGGTACTTTATTTGACTTGGACTTTTTGTATTTCATTTACTCTGATCCCTGGGTACTGTTGTATCAGCTACACAGGCTAAGCCACTGAGGAGGAAAAGTAGAAAAAGCCTTTTGATCCTGTTGGGACTTTCACTGTGTCAGACAATAGACCATAGGCAAGTTGTTAGAGTGGGGTGTGATGAGCACTGTAACAGAGGGGATCAGTGCCCTGAGAGCACCAAGAAGGGGCATCTTTCCGTGCAGTTCACAAGAGAGCATTTAGGAAAGACTTGGAAGAGAGACTTTAACATCAGTCAGCTAATTCCTGGTGGGGATTAGCTTGAAAGGCAATTCAGACATGAGAAGAAAATTCAGTTACTAGACTAATTACAATTAGGCATTTTGGAGTGTGGATTATTTAGTTGGGAAAGCATTATGCTACTAGTCAAGCAGGAGAGATAGGGAAGGAATATTCTGATAAACTGTGGTTCTGCTCAGATCAGGATGAAGCTTAAAGAAAGTCTGTGAAGGAGAGCCTCTCAATATCCGGCCTTTCTTCTTTTCTCTGTATCACTTTTAGATTACTCCACCTGCACCCAGTGCCCAGCAGACATGGGCCCAGGCATTCGGTGGCAGCCAGGGCAACAGTAGCAGCAGCAGCAGCCGTCTCAGCCAGTACTTTGAGAAATTTGACGTGAAAGAGTCCTCCTATCATCTCCTTATCTCCCGCTTGGACCTTCATATTTGTGATGACAGCCAATCCCGAGAGCCAGGTACTGTGAGGCATGAGCCTGGGATGGGTGCAAACCATTTTCTAATTTTGGACAGAGCCTGAGATAGGCTATTTTCTAGGAGCACTGTAGAGTCCATGGGTTGGTTTCATTTAATCACAGATGTTACTTGGGCCTCAGCCATTCTGTGGTAGCTACAGGTTGATGTGAGTCAGTGCTATTATTCAGCCTTTAGGGGTCACCTGTCATACTTTTTCAGTGCTAGGAACTGAACCCAGGGCTTTGCACGTGCTAGGCCACTGAGCTATACCCTATCCTAAAATTGCCTTTTTTTTTGGTCAGTTGTGGGGCTGGAACCCAGGGTCTGGGTATTGTTTCTGAGCACTTTTGCTCAACTCTACTACTTTGAGCCACAGCTCTGCTTCTGTGTCTCTTCTCCCCCCCCC